TGTCTTAGATAGTGGTCTAGAAAAAGTGGTAAAATTTTGGGGGAAATCGTGGGGTGGTCATGTAAACCGTTGCTGGTCTTAAATACGTTTCCTCATCAGTCAACACTGTTCTCCGAGGTCCGGCCGATCGAAACTCCTCTTACGTCACAAGCCATCATTATCTGAGGTTTGTTTTGATTTTAGAACTGCCTGAGTGAATTGGATTTTCGTTCCTATTGAACAATGAAAATTGCATATGCATGCTATTTTGTTTTGTCTTGTCAAGAAAACCGTGTTATCGTGATGAGTGAGGTTATGTGGGGGACACTCGGGACACTCCACCCATCATTTAAGATTTTGCACCTACCGATAACGCCAGACGCCAGAGTGTGCTAGTGAAGTTAGATTTGGTCAGTACTGCTGTTATGCAGTATTTACAAACTGTGCATCAGACATGCCATCATCGATTACCAATGCGAATCGTCAAGATTAGGCCCTTCCTCTATGCCTATGTCAAATCTACCACTCACAACAATGTTTTACTGTTGCAGCTCTTTACTTTATGATTGACACATCTATAGAAAAATCTTTGAAGTAGTTTTCTGTTATCTTTGCATCTGAAATGATCTATGTCAGAATTTTACCCAACTTAGATTTCGTCAGGTTTTGCCTCAGTCGTGTTTGGCCCGATATATTATTGATTGAGCATCCGAATCGTTCGAAGGCTGATTGATGCCGCTTAGCCTTTTAGCTTAAAATGCTTGTCTAAAAGCCAGGACAACTTGGCAGCGGCCGGAGGCCCTCCCCGCCCTTCCCCCACTGCCCCGCTCATGTGCGTTGGGCTGCCTGCCTCTCGGCGTTTGCTGGGGAGCGGGCGGCGCGGGCCGCTTCCGTAGACATTGGGGGCTGTGTGTATGTACAGACAAACGGGGTTTGATATCTTTTAATTTAAAGAAAAATACATAACAAAAAAATAAATAACTTAATCCTACTCTCTCTTAAACTACATGATTTGTTTTTGTTTTACATTTAACCACAACTACCCGATCCCCAACGGCCGGAGTGTTAAATTTCACAGATAAGCTTTTAAACGTTGACGAGGTAGTGGCACCCCATATGTAATATGCGATTAAAAGCCTGTCAGTGTCAATCCGGTTTACTGGCCGCTGTGGACGGGGGCGTAACCCCAAAATCTTACAAAATCCGTCAACCCCGTCTGAGCGATGAACTGGCCAACTCTTTGACTTAATCTCAGTATCTACCTCTGTTAAAATAAATAAATCCTCTGTAGAGAAGGTCGAGATCGATCTTGTTAACGAATCAGGCGCACACATTATTTACTGAATAATTTTGGCCAAAAACGTGAGTGCTCGACTCGTTGCATCGCAGTGCACTCTGTCTACTTGGCGGCGAGCTACACCTCGTCTCGTGATCGAAAAGACGACGTGACGGCCCGACTGTCTGACTCGTCACAGACCGTCACGCTGCCACGGTGCGTTCAGCCGGCGGATGGCCGCACCCGGTAGGACGAGGTGACGGCGAAGGCTCCAGACTCGTGCTGGCTGGGCAAGTGGTGGGCTTGGTGGAACTGCTGCTGCTGGTGGGGTGGCTGCTGATGGAGCTGGTGGGCGCGCATGGGCCGGTGGCCCGCGGGTCTGCGCACCTCGCGGTGGTGTGACGGCCCCGAGGGCGGCCCCTGTCCCCGCACGGGCCCGTGATGGCCAGGGTGTCCCGGGGGCAGGGAGGGCCCGCTGCTCTTGAGGCCGTCGAACTGCTCGATGGGCATGAGGTACGTCTGCACCTCGACGGTCTCCTTGGGCGGCCATTGCAGCGCAGGGTTCTGCTCGTTGGCGGAGACCTGCGGCTGTTTGTTGTTGACAGTCTGGTGATCCTCGTACACGGCGACGCTCTTGGTGACCTTGACGCCGGAGCTGCTCCCCCCGAATCGCGGGCCCTGCTGCTTGTAGCTCACGAGTTGCGGCGGTCCTGGCCTCTGATGTTTGAAATACACCTCTTTGCCGGGCCCCTTGCCGAAGGACGGCCGGTATTTGGAGGGCGGGGGACCTCCAGGACCGCGGTGGTCGCCTCCGCCGAAGGAGGACTTGAAAGGTGCTTCGGCCGAGAAGGGGGAATCGGAAGGGGAGGGCGTTTTGAAGGGCGAGTCCGCGAACTTGAAGGGTGCGTCCGAGAAGGACTGCGACTTGAAGGCGTTGCTTGGCTCGTCGAAGGAGGATTTGAAGGGGATATCCGAGAAAGACGACGACTTGAAGGGGCTCTCCGCAAACGAGGGTGCCTTGCCAAAGTGTGGCTGCTCGGCTTCTGCCGGAGGTAAGTCGAACACTGGCTTCTTGCCACTCGGAAGCGCTGCCTGGAGTTCGCGCAGCCTGGACAGTGGCATGATGATGGCAGGGATGGGGTCGCCGCCCGGCGTATCGTTGGGGATGTAGTACACCTGGCCCAGCTTGGTGTTGAGCAGCGAGTCGCCAAGTCCACTCGGCCCCCGGCCGCCCGAGTGTGGCTGCCTGGTGTTGGACGTGTAGGCGCGCATGAAGTCGATGAAGGAGCTGGAGGTGAAGCCGCGGAAGGGGTCCGGCTTGGAGGGTGGCTCTTCGGCGAGGTGGTTCGAGGGCGTCTCCAGCAGCGGCCGGGCCTCGGAGCTCTCCACCCGCCCGCTCTCGCCAAACACGGCGCCCTGGCTGTGGGCGTACGCGGGCGGGCCGCTTTGCAGCGCTGCCGCCGTGCTGGCCTCGAAGGGGGCGGCGGGTGGGTCGGCGTCGTCGGTGTCCTCCATGATGGGGATGCTGTCGCGGTAGCCGCCGCGCAGGCCGTTGGGGGTGATGGGCGCCGACACCTCCACGCCATTGCCCACGTCCTGCCACGCGAAGTCGGTGCCGTCGTTGATGTGGAGTACGGCGGACACGGCCTTGGGCGGCTTGTGGGTGGGGCCGAGGGAGAACTCGCTGCGGAGAGAAGAAAAAATAGGGTTAATCGTTCGTCTGCAAAGGGTGAGGAGGATGTGCTTGCAGGCTTGCACTCAGAATCGCGCTTACCTCTTGGCCGACCCACTACCAAAAATGGTGTGCGTGGAGTACGACGGGGTGGTGCTGATAATGAACGGCCCAGCTGGAGCGGGCGAGGGCGTCACTGCGACCAAATTGAAGGCGGGCTGGGGGCCGCCGATAAGAGCCTGTGGCGTGGGCAGCGCCTGGTAGCCAGCGGTCGGCGCCGGCGACCCGAAGGTCACCGACGACGTCTGCTGCAGGGTCTGCTGCAGGGGCGGCACGTAGATTGGCCTGCCGTTGATGGCGGAGCTGCTGACGACGCCACCCTGCTGCTCCGGCTGCAGCCCCTCCTGGCTGGCGGGCAGCACGGTGTTGGTGTAGCTGACGGCACCCTCGCCGTGCACCACCTCGTTCTGGACGGAGCCCCGGTAAAAATCACCGTTGTGGCGCTCGCCGCTCTCAGGACCCGCCGCAAAGCCGATGCTGTAGCCCACGCTCACGGTAGGATCGGGGCCCTGGCCGCCCTCGGGCACCTGCGACAGGACGTGTTGCTGAGGAGGCTGCGACTGGATGGCCGGCGGTGGGCGACGTTTGTTGACGCGTTTGCTGTTCTTTTTGCTTTTCTTGACTTCGATGGGCGGTGGTTCGTGCTGCAGCTGTGGCTCTTGAAGCTGCTGCTGGTTCTGCAGCTCCAGCTGCTGGTGCTGCTGCTGAATGAGCTGTTGCTGCTGCTGTTGCTGTAGTTGCTGCTGCTGCTCCAGTTGCTGCTGGTGCTGCTGCTGTCCTATTTGCTGCTGCTGCTGCTGCTGTAGCTGCTGCTGCTCGTGCTGCTGGTGCTGCTGGTGCTGCTGGTGCTGCTGTTGCTGCTGGTGCTGTATGGCCTGCTCTTGGTCGGACTGTGTCTGCTGCTGTTGCTGCTCTTGCAGTTGCTGCTTGGCTTTGACGCGCTTCCTCTTGTAGCGCGAGTTGGTGGGCTGCCACGCCTGGGGGGTCTCGCTGCCCGCCGCGGCGACCGCGTCCTGCGACATGGAGAAGTACATGTGTTGCGCGGGGGGCGGCGCCGACGGCGGGTGCGGGTCTGGGTGCGCGGCCAGGACGCGGCCCTGGCGGAGCGGGTGGTCCTCCGGTGCGAACCAGCCGTCGCCCTGGGACGCCATCTGCTGCTGGTCGGCGGCGAAGGGCTCTGCGGGCGTGGGGCTGTACCAGCGGACGGAGCCGCGGGACTCGGCGGGCTCGGGCTCCTGGACGGCTCCCCACGTGGTGGATTGCCAGGACTCCCTGGGCGCCGCCGCCGCGGCCATGGCCCGGGCTCTGTCCTGGTGGCCGAGCTCGCTGAGCGGCCAGCCCGCGGGGGGGTCCTGCACGGTCAGCCCGCCCGAGAAGCCCATCTCACCGTCCTGCGTGGAGTGCGCCAGCACGCCGCGGCCCAGCAGCACAGTGAACGCCGCCAGGCATATCTGCAACAGAACAGAGGGGCTTAGAAGGGCACAAGAAGGCGTGTCCGGGGGTACCACTGATGAGGGGTACATTTCTGACCGTTTCTGACTTTCCGTTCCCATCGTTATACAGCGAGCGCTGCCCGGATCTGATCGGGATCCTCTATAGTTTATCTTGGGCGGCGAGAGTGTCCCTTCCGAGCGCGCCGCACCTCTGCGCTGCCGTTTTGATTTATATATGCAATTTCACACACTGTATCGGTACCGCGCGCTGTGCGTGTTCGCGCCCCGCCCCGCTCCCCGCCCCGCTCCCCTCCCCCACACGCTCGGGCGCACGCTGAGCACGCACGCGGGCTCCAAACCCAAGTGCCGTGGCAGAGACTGCGGACTTTCTAACTACCGCGAAAGCAATGTCAAAACAAACGCCGCGCAAAATGGGAGGAGTCCAGTCGGTCATGCCGGACTAGGCCTGCTCCTCGCCGGGCGGGCCGGGCCGGGCCGGGCCCCGGCTAGAACGAACAACCGAGATAAGGATCACTGCTAGATGTATGGGGGGGGGGGGGGAATTACTTACAACACACTCTTGTTGTCTGCCCCGCGCATCTAAGTAAGTGTCGACTTGTAGGCTGCTCTGTCGGTTAGAGGAAGCTTAGCAGCAGAATGATCTCATTTAAAATTTTCTTTTTTTCTTCGTCAAAAATGACCAAGCAGTACATCCTTACGTTACGTCACCGTTACGCACGGTAAAAATAGTTTGTTGTATTCCAAGACCTAGTCTTGGATGCCATTGGCGTTCCCCCCATAAGATCCAAGACCGGGTCTTGAAATACGAGGAATATTTTTTTACCGTGTGGGGCGGGATCTGCACATAAAGTTGAACAACAATGCTGCGCAAAAAACGCATTTTTGAGCACGCGTTTGGTGGGCCAGCCCAGCCAGCCCCAGTCTTCCTCATTCCAGCCTAGTCCTCCCAGCTAGCCCTAGTCTAGCCCCAGTCTAGCCCATTCAGCCCAGCCCAGTCTAGCTGCAGTCTGGCCCATCCTAGTCCAGCCCTCCCAGTCTAGCCCCAGTCTAGCCCCAGTCTAGCCCAGTCTAGCCCAGCCCTCTGGCGGTAATGCCGGCGCGGCTGGCGCGCATGTTGCGCCGCGCGCAGCTCGCGGGGCGTGAAGGCGCTGCCTCGCTGCCTATTATTCTTTTTTCGCTTTCGTTGTCTCACTCCAACACAAGTAATTTCTAGCAGATGATATCCAGCAGCAGACCCGTGCATCCTAAGTGAGAGAACAATTACATTTTGCCCATCGTATAATTATGCATTACTGAGAGACAAGGTGGCAACACTACTACTTGTGCTGTGCTAATATAATCTGCACGAATTTTATCCCACTGATGTAGTAACGCCTCGCTCCACCCCGTGACGTCTTGGCCCGCCCCTTCCGCCTCCTCGTCGCCGATGCGCCGAACAGAGGACGCGCTGTTGGGAAATTTTGGTCGGACCTATGCAATCTCCAAGAGAGGCCTGTCATCGAAAACGTCTTTCTTCTTGTAGTTTGATACCCTTTGATACCGCTAAATTACCATTGTTCTTCCAACACTGTAACGTGAAATTTAAAAGACTGTGTCAAATTGGTAAGTTATACTGTGTCACATTCGTTACAGCGTGACATAGCCACGCATGCCCTGCTCGTAGCCTGTGAGGGAAGAGCGAGGTATAATTTACGTTCTAACGAATGGGCAGGCGCGGTAGGGTCCGGCTGACAGCCGTACTCGAAGTTTGTGGGAGTACACTTGGAGTACACCACACCCGGAGTACGCGGAGTGAATCCGCAGTACATCCGGAGTACTGTCAGCCCTGGACCGGCACCCGCGGTTGGCTAGTCTGGGTCGTCTGACATCGAATCGCCTGACCTCCGCTCAATGTGGGGGCATATTACCTTGACTCTCCGTGAATTTGTCGTTTAACAACTAATTTGGTCATCATTTAAAACTAATCAAATCACAATACACTGGACTCTCGCTAACTGTCGCCTCGCTCATGGCCGTGCCCGCGAGAGATAGCTATAGCGCGTTTCACGTGGGCTGACTGCCGGCTCCAGTGGCGCCCTCTGGAGGAGTGGGGAGAGCGGAGCACGGCCGCAGCGAACGCACAGCACCCTCGCTATCTGTTGCAGCGACAATGCGCGAAGGTCCACTGTATTACTTTCCTGAAATGTGTTTTGATGGGTATTTTCCAAAGTATTCACTGAAAAAACTAAGGTGCCACTGCACTAAATGCCTTTGCAAAGGCACTAAAGTTGCCGAATGTAGCACCAGGTGGTTTGTAGCTCAAGTTGCCTCCCCTTCACCCCCCTGCCTGCCCTCATTTAACGCCTGGCCGCCTGGCTGGAGTAAAGGCACTATTTCAGTAACGGAACGGAAGTACGTCTCGTTTTCGCCCTCACAAACATGCAAAGTTCAAGCAAGCTCACATGGCTCCTGGAGGTAGGCAACATCTTGCATGCAGGGCATGCGTGTACTGCGGGGTCGCCTACCCTGAGTCTCGCAGGCGCCCAGCTCCTGTAATTTGTCGAATATATCTGAGAAAAAAAAAACGGATGTACTTTCTGGAGGATCCCTAACGCCCCCAACACGGTGGAGGGTGGAGGGAGGGAAGGTGGCGGCACGAGGGGTCTGCTTGTGGGTCGAGAATCTCGACAGGTTGGGGGATAAACGCCCTAGTCGGGGCCAACTGTAGGGCCTGTTCACACTACCTTCAGTCGGGGCCGCCGTGCTCGTAGGAAGGTGGGAAGCCCAGACTCAGCTTGCGCGGGACGGGCTCGTATTTGACTTCTCTCTCGCACACTCCGGCCAGGTGAGCCGGGCGAGGGTCGGTGCCGCTCAAGCTAAGTCGGGGCGGCCCAGGTACATGCAGAAGCCGCCCCGACTGCAGGTACTCTGTACCGGTACGGGTACGTTAGATAGCCCCGACTCGGCCGTTAATCCCCCAACCTGTCTAGATTCTGGACCCACGGGTCCCTATGCTGGGAGGCTCTCGTGCCGCCACCTTCTCTCTCTCTCCACCGTTGCCCCCAACAAGGTATTGGATATCACCTTTGTTTTTCCAGTGTTTCCACCAAGTTTATACAGGTGGCCGCGTGACTCGTAGTGTATGATGCGTCGTTGGAATACTCTCATGAATTACATTACTGTAACGGAATGCAAAGCAGCATACCTAAGTCGAGCACTGCATCGTCCGTGTAGTTTGCACTGACAAAAGGCGCCATCACCCGGACGCTGTCTCTTGACCAAATGGAGAGAGCGGAACTGGGCTAGACAGTTGTAGTAGTTGTACATGCTGGCGGTGAGGCCATGTAGTATGGCAACATAATACCAAGGTCAAAAACTTTGGGGGTGTGCAGAGGGCTCCTGATCAAGATCAAGGAACACTTGGGGGACTCATTTTAGAGTTCTAAAATACCGTCTAAAATAGTACGCTGCTGTTTGGAATTGCCAAGCACATTTGCTTGGTGTGTTTCCACTCAGCATTCAGTTTTAAATCTCGGGCTCAGAATTGGGATACCCAACTATTCCGGGTTTGGGTTGGATTGTGGAGTGCCACGGGAAGCGACACGGTGATATTGGTTCAGCGGCACTAGGATTTACTGACAGTGTAGTTTCGGTGCACAGTGTATTGAATAACACAAGTGAAACCCCCCATCGTATAGGACACTACATATTTTTCAGTGTATAAATTCAGTCGCTCAAATCATTAAACCAAAACCCATTTTCACCAATTTTACCACATACAATCTCAAATTCTTACAAAGAAAAATCATGGTAATACAAAGAAAACTGTTGTGTAATACAAGGAAATTTCTTGTAATACAAGGAAATTTCCTGTATATTTAGAGTGTATACCGCATTTTGTGTGAGCTTCCGCCTACTTTGCATATTGCTATGATGGTACTTTTTGGCAGCGCGTCGCCCGTGCTCGGCCTCAATATGAGCATACACCACTTGCTCTGGTAGCGCGCGCGCTCAGGGGTGACTAGTGACACAATGACTTCCTTTGCGTGCGACAACGACACACAACAGCTTTGTCCGTGCGAGCGTGGCCGCCATATCGTCCACATGTTTGCGTTCCCCGGATTTCCACTCCGCTCGTGGTTTCACAGCCTAGCGGTCTCCTGTCTCGCTTGCTCACAATCAGTGCGGTGGTGTAACACAACACGCACGTTGAGTACACTTGTATCATTAGTATGAATCTAACTTTTATAATTTGCCCACTAAACGCTTAGGGATTAAAAAAATACTTCATGATGTAGAATTGTTATTGTATGCTACCTTTTGTGCTTCATTACATAAAGTAGTGCTCAATTGTGTAGTAATATATTTACATAAGCACAACCGTGCATAGTAGAGCATGCTCGGATTCATGGTCTGTAATGCACTTGTTTCGGACAATAGCATAATGTACATGTGATAAATATGAACGATTTGTGCGTAAGTATGCATTAAAAGGTGCATTAGAAACTATGTTTAGCTAGCGCGCAATTTAAGTTATACACAACTAAGCAATTTTTAAGCAACCACTAAGCATTTTTAGTGTAAAGGCGCCAAGTTTTAATAGCGCTAGGCAAATCCACCTGCATGCAGAACCTGATAACTATCGGTTATTGGTACAAGATGTTCTTGGAGGCGTGGTCACCCCGTAAAATAATGTCACACGTCTTTACTGACTGACCAAGAGGTCAATGCGAATGACCAACGTGGTAAATACATCGGAATGCGACCTTTCCCTTCCCTTCCGGAGCCGGAACCGCGCCTCTTTCTGCGGCTAGTAGAGCGCAAAGTGATATGAAAGGCTGGCGGGGCGCGGCGGCGGCGCGGCCGGGCGCGGCGCACGGCTAATGAGCTGGGCGATATTTGTAGCAAAAGCGCGTTGTGGTGCCTGCCCAAGGGCTGCAGCGGGCTGCCCGCGCAGCGGCACGAGCACGCTAGTCAGGGAAAGTACTTTGGCGGCCCGGACCATGAACCTGCGGTG